GCCTTGTCAGAAATCAATTGCGGATCAAAATGTGGGTTTGCAATTGGAGGTCAGTCTACACTACAGTATAAATATTTCATCCAGGACTCACGTCAAGGGGCTTTTAAAGATGTGTGCTGGACCATGCTCCCCTCTTGCTGCCCTCTGAAAGTGACAGGGCTTGCGTTTTAGCCCACTTAAGGGCCAGGTTAAATCAATTAAAATCTATTATTCATATGGCAGTGTGGTGACCTCACTGAAATCCCCTATAATTTCAGAATAGAAAGGAGAACAGGCACTGGCAGTGAACTTTGGCTTCCCTGGTTTTCAAGAGAATACAGGAAACAAGTGACCTTGTTTTAAGACTAAAGCCTTGGAAATAAAATTGGAGCTCGTAACATAATGTTCCAAGATAGGGTCTGAGTCACAGGCCTGGGCAAATCATGAATGCAGGATTGTATTGAAATGGCTTTGATGATCTGGACCTTGTGTGCATGTGCACCAGTGGCCCCATGCATATTTTGAAGAAAATTGGCAGCACATTTTGGATTGCAGATAAATACAGCCGCTCTTTGAGTGGGGCATATCATCTCTGCATCCAAGCTTAAAATCCCCTTCATTCTGATTGGGCGGATCTGCTCTTGTGCAAAGTGCAACTGTTCTCTTTGTAAGGAAAAAATTCTGTTGGATGAGACCCCCCATGCATGGCAGCCTGCTATTTGGTCTGATAATACGCAAAGAGGAGTCCGAGGGATAGAAGTCATTAAGACCTGCTCACATATAATCATCCCATTGCCATTCCCATCTCTTGGTCTGCATTTTATTCTGACCATCTGCACTCTGTCCCCCTTTCATTTGAAAGGACCTCTGCTTGCAGAGAGGAAGCAAATGGAGAGCTCAGAGCGATGAAAAGTGATTTGGATGCGGTTTGCTACATGAGTGAACCATGTTTTTTTTTTTTTGTCTATTTTTTTTAAAAGAAAACAACACGTTAATTGGAGTTTGTGAAAAATGTATTTTGATGAAAAAAAAAAGAAATGGATGAAGGGAAAATCAAAGGGATGGAAAGATTTGCAAAGAAGCATTTCTTTTATTTCGACAGGATTTACTTTTATCCTTTGGATTTGTTGAGTCTGTCCCATGAGGTTTTTTTTTTGGTTTGTTTGTTTCCTAAGCTCATGCAATAACAATTTATTAGGAAAGCTCTAATCAAGGTCACTGTTTTAAATATGCACATTTAACGTGCAATGATTTACATGCACTCAGGTCATTGTATTCAATTAGTGATGTAACAGAAAGCGTGCCATCACCATATTGTAATTGCCTGTCTCGTAAATCCACTTTTTGAATTATTTCTCTCATTCTGACAACAATTTTGCCTTTGTTGTGTGCCATGTGCCTACATTCTTATTCTTTTTGTTTTAATCATAATTCATCCAATTTTCAGGCAGGCGGCACGGTGGTCGACTGCTTAGCATGTCGGCCTCACAGTGCAGAGGTGAAGGGTTTGATTCCGTCTCCGGCCTTCCTTTGTGGAGTTGGCATGTTCTCCCTGTGCCTGCGTGGGTTTTCTCCAGGTACTCCGGTTCCCTACCACATTCCAAAAACATGCATGGCACGTTAATGGAACACTCGAAATTGTCCCTGGGTGTGATTGTGAGTCCGAACGGTTGTTTGTCTATGTGTGCCCTGCGATTGGCTGCTAACCAGTTCAGGGTGTCCCCCACCGACTGCCCGAAGACACCCGCGACCCTTGTGAGGATAAAAGGATTAGAAAATGGATGGATGGATGGATGGATATTTATAGGCACCTTTCAAGGTCACTGTACAAGCATATAATTAAAAGAAAACAGACAAAAGGGACAGTGAGGTGGAGAGAGGGCAAACATCTGAACGAGCGAGAGGGTGTGTAGCAATGTGAAGATATTGAGGCAGATCAGTATGTTATATTGCATGCCAGACAAAGAGCCAGTGGAGTTGTTGCAAGGCTGAAGTGATGTGATGGGTGGAGGGGTCCTTGTGATAATCCGAGCAGCAGAGTTCTGGAGAAGTGTAATTTTTGTAGTGACTTCGGGTGGGGTTATACAGAAGAGAGTTGCAGTAATCCAGGCAGGAAGTGAAAAGGCTATGAACAAGGACAGCTGCAGTGCGAGGGGTCTGGGATGGATGGAGCTGATGAATGTTACATCAATAAAAGTATGCAGAGCAGTTGATGTTTACGCGCGGTTGAAAATAGAGTGTGGTGTCAAGGATGACGTCCAAACTCTTAACCCGAGGGGAGGGAGAAACAGAAGAAGTGTCAAGTGCAACAGAAAAACTGTCAATTTTGGCTGGAGTGGACCTATCTGTAGGATTTTGGCTTTATCACTGTTGAATTGTTGAAAATTGGATCAGAATCTATGGTGAAGGTCAGAGAAGCAGTCAGTAAAGGAGAAAAGAAGAAGAGTGGTAGTAGTATATTGGTGGAGAGGTCAAGCTGGGTGTCATCCACATCACAGTGAAAGGGTCAGTTAAATTTTGGGCAAATATTTCCGTGAAGTAGGATGAAGAAGATAAAGAGGAGAGCTCCCAAGACCCCAGAGGACACCAGAACAAACGGGGGAATGGAAGGGGTTTGAAAGATTTCAATTGAACAATCTGGTTCAGCTGGACAGGTAAGAATTGAACCATTGAAGGTGTGTGTGTGTGTGTGTGTGTGTGTGTGTGTGTGTGTGTGTGTGTGTGTGTGTGTGTGTGTGTAGTGCCAATGTTTTTGAGTCTGTTCATGAGACCAGAATGAAATTGTTTGTTGAGATTATTGTCGGTAATGTGGGACGGGAGCTGGGAAGCAACAGTCTTTTCTGAGATTTCTGATCGAAATAGGAGATGGTCATGGCTGCTATTTTGAATGCTGTAGGAACAATGCTAGTGGAGAGTGATGAGTGTTAGTGATCAGGGGACCAAAGGCAAGCTTTAACCAGAACAGTCTTCTTGGCATCCACATACGTGTTTACATGTTGGCACCCATCGATACGAACATGGGTACATACAACACTCTTTTTGAGCTTTGTGCCTACATTGACGCCAACCTAGGAAGAGCAAACTTGTCAGTGCATTCCATGAGTGCAAGAAAACCAAAAACATAAGATGCCGGCACATTGTGGTTGATGGTTCTGCAACACACACAGTTATGACAAGGGTACTGGGAAGAGATGAAAACAAAATGTAATTGTTTTTTTCAAATGTTCTACCCCTGACAATACAAATTAAGTTGTTGACAAAAAAAAAACAGTTGAGAAATGAGCAAATTGCGACTTAATTTCATTGTCAGTGCATTGCCTTTGATGGGAACGTTGTTCCTACCAACACGGCACATACGCATGTCAGTTTGTCGGACTTCTACAGTGCATTGATGTATCTAGGGTGAGTTCGGAAATTCACTCCGATGCCCTAACATGACCCTGTGGGTGGTGTTCACAGAGGCATACTGCACTCTACTCCCATTAATTTTGTAACACACCCTATCTTATAAACCAATCACCAGCTCATGCTTGAACTGTTTCCATCTGTAGTGCCTGACGCTTTAGTCGCACTGTGTCCCCAATCCCAATTGGGGCAATGACAGCGCGCTCTGGCACTCCTTTTTTTGGTGCCCCCTTGACAATCCAGGTGGCACGTGTCAATTTTTATGTTACTATCGAGGAGTTAAAATACCCCGACAGAGTTCTATAAGTGTAAATGGTTCTGGCCACCTGGCTCAAGCGCAGCCAAACAAAGGGGGGAGTCCACACAACGCTCACAATATTACGATATTTATTTCAAATGATCAGGGCCGGACAAAGAAACAAAAGTACCAGTGTAGATGGCAGCTGACTACATAAAAATGTGCGGTCACAGAGCATAGCAGGGAATCTTGGGAGAGAAGAGAGAAAGAGACTGCTGGCACCAGCCTCCCTTGTATCCAGGCTGCCTCCACTCTGGTCAAACCATCTTCAGGTGTGCTAGAAAGGACTTTCAGTGGAGTGAATAACCTGGCAACCAGGAGAGGGTGCTGACTCCCACCTCACAGGAGCCTACAAAATCCCCAGGTTCATAACAAAACAAAGTTAGAACATTTCTTGTGGCTGGATTCACCTTAATTTATATTATTTGAGTAATATTTAGTTAAAGTGATATTGTTGGGCAATATCTGAAGTTAGACACACACACACACACACACACACACACACACACACACACACACACACACAC